GAAGTTCACAGTTCATGTACTGTTGAAGCCTGGCTTGGAGAATTTTGAGCATTACTTTACTAGCATGTGAGATGAGTGTGACTGTGTGGTAGTTTAAATTGCCATTCTTTGGCATTGGCTTTCTTTGGGATTGGAATGAAAACTGGCCTTTTCCAGTCCTGTGGCCACTGCTGAGTTTTCCAAATTTGCTGGCATATTGAGTTTAGCACTTTCACAGCATCATCTTTTAGGATTTGAAATAGCTCAGCTGGAATTCCATTAGCCCCACTAGCTTTGTTCATAGTGATGCTTCCTAAGGCCCACTTGACTTTGCATTCCAGGATGTCTGGTTCTAGGTGAGTGATCACACCATTGTGGTTATCTGAGTCATGAAGACCTTTTTTGTATAGTTCTTCTGTGTATTCTTGCCACCTCTTCTTAATATCTTCTGCTTCTGTTAGGTCCACTGCATTTCTGTTCTTTATTGAGCCCATCTTTGCATCAAATGTTCCCTTGGTAACTCTAATCTTCTTGAAGAGATCTCTAGTATTTCCCATTCTATTGTTTTCTTCTTTTTCTTTGCATCAATCACTGAGGCAGGCTTTCTTATCTCTCCTTGCTATTCTTTAGAATTCTCCATTCAAATGGGTATATCTCTCCTTTCCTCCTTTGCCTTTTGCGCCTCTTCTTTTCTCAGCTATTTATAAGGCCTCCTCAGACAACCATTTTGCCTTTTTGCATTTCTTTTTCTTGGGGATGGTCTTGAGCACTGCCTCCTGTACAATGTCACGAACCTCTGTCCATAGTTCTTCAGGCACTCTGTCTATCAGATCTAATCCCTTGAATCTATTTGTCACTTCCATTGTATAATCGTAAGGGATTTGATTTAGATCATGCCTGAATGGTCTAGTGGATTTTCTTACTTTCTACAACTAATTTTAGAAAGGCTTAAAACGTAAAATTATCTAGTATCTTTATGCAGATCATCTTCTCCCATAATCTCATATAAAAATAAGAGTCTATTCACTTCATATCAGAAGATATGACCACACTGGCCTTTGCAAGCTTCTTTTCTGAAGCTCAGTGTTCAATACTTGTGAACAATTACGTTTTACTCTCCAGGACTTCAAAAATTCTTGACAATCATGAAACTGCATAATAAACATTAAAGAACTAGACCAATGATGTTAGAAGACAGGGGAGATGTTCATAAATTCAATATTACTAATATGCAACATTAATGTAAATAATTTAAATATCTACTGGGAATGAACATGTAGATACATATTCAAATGCTATATGTTAATGTCAAGAAAATGAGTGATCTTTGAACTTCTGCCAAAAGTCATTTGAGAAATAAAAGGTTTTTAAGTGAATCACATTAGAAAGAGATACATGACACTGTTAAACAAATTAACACTTTCCTCAAATTCTTTCAAGGCAATAGATAGATAATCATAGCAGGCTCTAATCCAAGACTTCGTAACTTCCCTTCCTCACTAATTATGTGGCAACTGTAAGAATCTCTTGGCATAATGAGATGTTGGTTAAATACGATTATCTGCCAATTCCATTCCTACACTTAGAGAAAACACAATCCATGACGCCTGGCTTCACTTTCCAGGCAGGGCTCGATCTCTGCCAGGTCCTTGGTGCTGCCTGGCCACACTACCATCCTCTCCAGGGGACTCCCTCTCATCTACACAGCAATTCCACATTTTCTCCTCTCATCTGAAACACGAATAGCATTTACCCCCACCCTCATTCTCATGTGCTATGAAAAAATAAAAGCCATCAGAAGACAACTCCCAAGTGTCCCCCTTAGCCCATTTACACAGACCTATAGCCAGGCACTCTGTCTTCCCTCCTGTTATTGTGACTAAATGGTCTAAGTTCCTACTGAAGCTCATATAACCCAACATCACTCTCTCCCCCTTGATCCGATAAATTGCTCCAGCACTCTCTCTTAAATCCACAGCTCCCTCTCCACTGTACAGTTTCCATCATGATAGAAAATGCTGTCCTTTCTGAAAGAGTAAATCTTGACCACACATCCCTCTCTAAAAATAGCCCCATTTCTCTATTCCTTTTTATCACAAAGGACATCATAACCATGGTCTATACTTCTTGTCTCTAATTCTTCTCTTCCTGTTTTCCTTAAACCTACTCCAAACAAGCTTTTGCCCCTGCCCTCTACCAAAACCACTCTGTTAAAGGTTAACAGTAACCTCTGCATAGCTTAATTTAGTGGTAAGTTCTCAGAATTCATTTACACAATTCACATCAGCAGAATCTGTCATGCATGCATGCATACTAAGGCGCTTCAGTCACGTCCAACTCTTTGGGACCCTATAAACTATACTACACCAGGTTCCTCTGCCTGTGGGTTCTCCAGGCAAGCATACTACAGTGGATTGCCATGCCCTCCTCCCGGGGATCTTCCCTACCCAGGGATCGAACCCAAGTCTCTTAAGTCTCCTCCATTGGCAGACAGGTTCTTTACCACTGGGAGCCATCTGGGGACCACTGATGTCAGAGTCTGACACCACTCATCATATCCTCCACCTTCAAACCCCTTCTTCACCTGGTTTCCTGGATACTATGCTCTTGTTTTTCTTTCAGTCTCATTAATTAACTCTCTCTGTTCTGCCTTTGCTTGTTATTCCTCATTGCCTTAACCTCTTAATGATGGAGGGTCCCCAGGCTCAATCCTTGAACCTTTGCTCTTTTCTGTCTATGGAATCTCATACACAATCTTGGCTTTAAGTATCATTTATTCATTGATGATGCCCTAATTTCCGTCTCCAGGTTTAGGCCACTCCCTCAACTCTCAACATTTGTATCTATAATTGTTCACTGACATCTTCAATTGGATATGTAATAGGCATCTCAACATATTAAAAAAAATAAGTTCTCCATGTTCACAATGTGGCTGACATTACAAGTGTTCATCAATCCAGTTCCCCTCTCTGTGAGGCCACAGGAATATGGTAAGGCCACACGACTTGTTTTGGCCAATGTAACGCGAGCAGAAGCACCGCGTATCACTTCCAACCCAACATGAAAAGTCCATCTGTGATTCTCTAACCTCTCTGTCTCTGTTATGGCAAAGCTAAAAAGCTTTGTGCTCCATCCAGATGATGTATCTTCAAAACATAAGCCTCCACTAACCAGGTTTCCTTAGTAATGGCAAAGATCTTCCCACTCACCCACATGGGACAGGTACCATTAGCAAGAAATAACCCTTTATGCTTAACTGAGATTTTGCAGGTATTAGTTATCACAGTATACTGTGGCTACCCAGACTAAACAACCCCACATATCTGCTGTCACATAGCACTCTTCTCCACCTCAGCAAACTCCATCCTTTCAGCTGCTCAGTCAAAAGCCTTGAAGTCACTCTTGACCCTTTCTTTCTCTGACAGCCCACATCCAATCCATCAGCATATCCTGTGCCTTCAAAATACATTACAGAAAAACCCAAATGAACTTTTTGGCCAACTCAATAAATACAGAATCTAACCACCTATTAGTTTCTCCACCACCATTCTGCTCTTCAAAAGACACTGGTTAGAAAATGAAAGACAAACCAGACTGGGAAAAATATTTACAAAGCATATATATCTATATATCTATATCTATCTATATATCTATATATATATAAATGAAGGTCTTGTATCCAGAATGTAGAAAATTCCCAAGGCTCACCAATAAGAAAGCAAAACACTCAATTTTGTAAAAAGCAAAATTTTAGTAGACATCTCCCAAAAGAAGACATAGATAACAAATAAGCACATGGAAAGATAAAAATACTCACCATTATTAGTCACTGGGTAATGCAAATTAAATAAAAATCACAATGAGCATGGGAGGTAAGAGAGATTCAAGAGGGAAGGGATATATGTATACCCATGGCTGATTCATGTCTATATAGGGCAGAAACCAACACAATTGTAAAGCAATTATCCCCCAGTTAAAAATACATATATCCTGCCTCATTCAAGAGCATTCTTTTCCTGGACTACCTTGGTGGTCGAGTGGTTAAGAATCCACCTACCAACGCAGAGGACACAGGTTCAATCCCTGGCCCTGGGAAGATCCCGCATGCTGCAGGGCAACTAGGTCTGTGTGCCTCGACTCCTGACCGCGAGCTCCAGAGCCCGAAAGCCATAACTACTGAGCCCTGAGCTGCAACTACTGAAGCCCAGGCACCTAGGGCCTGTGCTCTGCAACAAGAGAAGCCACCGCAACTAGAGGCCCAAGCACCACAGCTAGAGAACTGCCCCTGCTCGCCGCAACTAGAGAAAGTCCACGCAGCAACAGAGACCCAGCGCGGCCAAAGATAAGTTAATTAATTAAAAAGATTTAAAATTTGTATTCTTTTCTGAATGATAAAATATCAGGAGAAATAAGCGACTACAAAGCAGAGTCCCTCGGTACAAAGTCGTAGGGCCTCTCAGCCAAGAAGAACCACCTATAAGTAGCTCCCAAAATGGACTACTGCCGTCCCGATACATAAGCACTCCTCTCTGGCTATGGTTCCCTAGGAGTTGGATACTTTCTTTGAACTTATCTTAGAAACCTGGCCTCATTTCTCCTTTTTAAATATCATCTTCACCTGCCATTAAACTTATACTGACCCTTTTCCCAAGAACATAGTTGCCCTGAATTTTTTTAAGAACTGAGGAATGGCCATAGCAGGTGTCCTCAGTTCATGAGTCTTGGATGTAAAAGTGCCTTGGCTTGGATTCCTTGTCCTCTGTCTCCTCATTTCTCACTGGAGTAGAAAAATCACAATCTATCTCTGTTTCACTCACCTCCCTTGCTTTTCTCCTTGAAATCCTAAATTCCACTCATTATGGTAAATTTTAGCCTCTTTCTAACACATGAATCTACCCGCTTCTTTCATAAGCTGCTATAGTTATGCATTTTCTGTGATGTAATTCCTTTGTCATAAAATAAAATATAAAGTAAAAGGATAGCACCCACTCATGTTTAAAAAAGCTAGCCCCATGACTCACCTCGTTCCCACCAACTGCCTTGGTTAATATCACCGCAGAAGACACAGGGGGAGGCATGCAACCTACTGTCTGCAACCTGAAATATAAAACAAAAAGCAATTATAAGTAGGTTTCTTTTTTTTCCAATTATAAAATGTTCACTACATTCATTCTAAAACAGCAGAGCTGGGAGAATGCTTATTGGTGCACACGTCCTGTCAAATTCAGACAATTCTATATGAGCCAACATGGCTTAGTAGAAACTCTCACTCCACTCCACAGATTTGAGTGATCTCATTTTTAAAATTATTTTAAGCTCTTATACAATTCAAAAAACAGTCAGATTATGGTGAGTGTAGTCATTGAAAATAACCAAAATGGTTTATCATTTGGTAAGTGTATATAAGCTTAGTTATTTTCAGGTATCTTTTCCATATATGTTTTATAGGAAGGCTTTTGGCAAAACTAAAACTTTAAAACCTCTTGCAGGGCTTCCATGGTGGCTCAGTGGTAAAGAATCCGAATGTCAATGGAAGAAACATAGGTTCGATCCCTGATCTGGGAAGATCCCACATGCTATGGAGCAACAAAGCTCGTGTGCCACAGCTATTGAGCCCCTGCTCAAGAGCCTGGGAGCCAAAACTACTGTGCCCACATGCCACAACTACTGAAGCCTGAACACCCCAGAGCTTGGAACAAGAATCAATGCTGCAATGAGACATCCAGGTACCTCAACTAGACAGTAGCACCCATCACCAAAACTAGAGAAAAACCTCAGCAGCAACAAAGACCCAGTTTAACCAAAAATAACTAAATAAAGTTATATATATATTTTTTTAAAAAAACCTCTTGCAAAGTTCAAATGTATTTAACAAAAACACAAGCTTACATTTGCTAATTCTTTTCCACAAAACAGAAATTCTGAAACTATCATCTCCTAAAAGACATTTTCATTTTGCTATAATATCATTGTAAAAATAGGCATGACACAAACATATACTGCAAGGAGATCCAACCAGTCCATCCTAAAGAAAATCAGTCCTGAATATTCATTGGAAGGACTGATGCTGAAGCTGAAACTCCAATACTTTGGCCACTTGATGCAAAGAACTGACTCACTGGAAGAGACCCTGATGCTAGGAAAGACTGAAGGCAGGAGGAGAAAGGGACGACAGAGGATGAGATCATTGGATGGACACGAGTTTGAGTAAGCTCTGAGTTAGTGATGGACAGGGAAGCCTGGTGTGCTGCAGTTCATGGGGTCACAAAGTGTCGGACATGACTGAGCAACTGAACTGAACTGAATCATATATTTCTTAGATTCAGACCCTGTAGTAAATTCTAGTGTCTATACTAAATTTGGTCCTTATTCATTATGTACATATGCCCCAGATTGTAATTAGAAGTCTATTCTCTTAGTTTAGAATAGAAAAATATATTGCATCACAAGCAAATGAAATTATGAGTAGTAAATCCAAATATTAAAGATAAAAAAACATTATTCAGCATTCATACAGAATATACATTCTGGGGACAAGGAGAAACTGGCCCAACTAAAGTGGAAAATTTATACAAGGAATCAAGGACACAGAGTACCTGACTAATATTTGAATGTAGGATCACAGGTGATTTTTTATTCTCTTTTGTAATAATGTATTATCTAATATTTACAAATGAACTTATGTTAGCTCTGAAATAAGAAAAAATAAAAGTTTCATTAATTTTGACTGAAGACTTAAGAAAAATCTTTATATAGAATTTCAGTTCAATTCACACGAATACGGCATTTTTTTTTTTCTTTTTTTGGCCATGCCACGTGGCTTATGGGATCATAGTTCCCATACCAGGGATTGAACCTGGGCCCTTAGCAGCAAAAGCATAGAATCCTATCCACTAGACCACCAGGGAATCTCCAAATATGGTCTTCTTTTAAGGTCTGTTTTCCCAAGTGATGTTCAAGTAGTGTCTGATTATGAATTTCCAATCTCTCACCCTTTCTTGTGATCATCACCAAGAACATCACTAACACTTACTAGGCTTTTACCATTTATACTAGATACTGTTCTAGACAGTAGACACTTTACACATTTATCCCTCAAGAGTATTTAAGATAAATACTACCATTCTTTTTCTGAAAACTGAAGTTAAGAAAGGAGTTATGTGGTACAACCAAACTCACAAAACCGCCTATCCAGGATTAAGTTATTCCTGAGTCCAGGGACAATGACTTTAGCAAAGCCTGTTCCTCCAGCCTCTGCCTTCTATATTCCTCGCCACCAATACTAGTGATAAGCCCTCTCAGGTATTTTCAATCTTTATAACTTTTTCAATCTTTCCCTCTCTTCTGGCTCCTTCCCTTCTATGTACAAAGGAGGAGAGTTCTCACCTCAAAAGAAAAAAACAAAACAAAACACTAACCTATACATTGCATATATACAGGCTTTCTATAGGTAGGATACTACAAAAGGGTATTTTTTTTAAGAAGTATAAGGCATCATTTCTGCCTTCTAGGAGGTAAAACAGTCAACACACAAATGTAGATAACTAACCTCAAAATTAGTATTGTTTCCTCAAGATGCAGTCCTACCTTTATCACTGTGCCTCACTGCTGTGCTCCCCTTACTTGACCACAAAGCTCATTCTCTCTCTACTCCCCTGCAATCTGACTTATGACCCTCCTAGCAAAAGTCTATGTGCATGTGCATGCTCAGTCTTGTCTGACTCTTTGTGACCCCATGGACTGCAGCCCACCGGGCTCCTCAGTTCATGGGATTCTCCAGGCAAGAATACTGGAATAGGTTGCCATTTCCTCCTCCAGGGGATCTTCCCGTCCCAGGGATCAAATCCAAGTCTCCCATGGCTCCTGAATTGGTGGGCAGATTCTTTACCACTTGAGCCACCTGGGAAGCCCTTCTAGTAAAAGCAGTAACCTTATAAATCACCAGCAATCTCCCAATCACCAAATTCAACATCCTTTTCTTATATTCATTCTTCTTACCTCCTTGCTTCTCAAAGCACCCTATTCTCTTGGTTGTCATAGTACAGCATCATTCTAATTTACCTTGTGTTTTAAACAAGCCCATTCAAGCTTTCTGCTGGCTACTCCTGTCTTCTCAATCTTATTTTCAAACCTGAATGGGTAAGAATACTTAAAAATGTCTATTGCTACACCCAGCCTCCATTCCCAATCTGTACATTGCTGCCTATGACTACCACCTTAAACTAAACATGTCTAATACGGAGTTTACGTATTTTCTAAGGGAATTGATTTTGCGTCTCAATTCACTTATCTCTGTCAATGAATCAGTTTTCTCCTAATGAACTAGCTTGAAACTTTGGAGTTAAGTGGAGCTCTACTTACTCTTAATAAATCAATCAATTATCACAACCAATTTTCCACTGTTTTCCATGACTGTTGTCATCATCCCCCTTCAGATGCTTTTTTGCCCAAGTCTAGACATTTCTAAATGCCTACTCAGTGCTCTCTATACCTCCACTCTTTGCTTTTAGCACAAAAAGATAAGGGAGTATGTATTCAGAATACACTTATTTCAGTGATTTAAACAGGATCCTGATACAAGAGTCTGCAACTCCCTCTAGTTAACATACTAAGTGTGTACTCTCAAATTGGGAGGGGACAGGAGAAAAAAATGAGTGAGGAAAAGCTTTCTCTAAGTGAGGCAGACTAAGTCTGTACTCCTTTCAGTTCAATATCCTGAGCTGTGAAATGTATGTTTTTTTTTATTTAGCATATGGAGATTACAAGCTCTACTCTGCCTACATACCCAGGACAATCTGGGGCTATCAGATAATCTTCCTTAATGACCATTCTTTAGCGTGTGGTCTCTTGTTTAGCACATTTAAGAACTCTCCATCATCCACAGATTTAAACTCAAACTCTTCATATGAGTGAAGTGAAGTCGTTCAGTCATATCTGACTCTTCGCAACCCCATGGACTGCAGCCCACCAGGCTCCTCCATCCATGGGATTCTCCAGGCAAGAGCACCGGAGTGGGGTGCCACTGCCTTCTCCACCAGATCAGTAGGTTCCAGCTTTTGCAGCTTGACCTTAAGGAAACTTTTCATCTTTGTCTTCCACTAATGCTTCATGTTTGAATTCTCTACTTTAGAGGTACACAATCCATGCTGAAATTCTTCCCCTCAGTTCAGTACAGTCACTCAGTCATGTCTGACTCTTTGTGAGCACATGGACTGCAGCACTCCAGGCTTCCCAGTCCTTCACCAACTCTCGGAGCTTGCTCAAACTCACATCCATCAAGTGGGTGATACGATCCAACCATCTCATCCTCTGTTGTCCCCTCTTCCTCCTGCCTTCAGTCTTTCCCAGCATCAGGGTCTTTTCTAATGAGTCAGTTCTTCACATCAGGTGGTCAAAAATTTGGAGTTTTAGCTTCAGCATCAGTCCTTCCAATGAATATTGAGAACTGATTTCCTTTAGGATGAACTGGTTGGTCCCTTGCAGCCCAAGGGACTCTCAAGAGTCTTCTCCAACACCACAGTTTAAAAGCATCAGTTCTTCAGTGCTCAGCTTTCTTTACAGTCGAACTCTGTAAAGAAAGGTCCATAGCTTTGACTAGATGGACCTTTGTTGGCAAAGTAATGTCTCTGCTTTTTAATATGCTATCTACGTTAGTCACAGCTTTTCTTCCAAGAGCAAGCATCTTTTAATGTCATGGCTGCAGTCACCATCTGTAGTGATTTTGGAGCCTCCCAAAATAAAGTCAGCCACTGTTTCCCCATATATTTGCCATGAAGTGATGGGACTGGATGCCATGATCTTAGTTTTCTGAACAATGAGTTTTAAGGCAGCTTTTTCATTCTCCTCTTTCACTTTCATCAAGAGGCTCTTTAGTCCCTCTTTGCTTTCTGCCATAAAGACTGTGTCATCTGCATATCTGAGGCTATTGATATTTCTCCCAGCAATCTTGATTCCAGCTTGTGCTTCAGCCAGCCCAGCATTTCTCTTGATGTACTCTGTATATAAGTCAAATAAGCAGGGTGACAATATACAACCTTGATGTACTTCTTTCCCAATTTGGAACCAGTCCATTGTTCTAAGCCTGGTTCTAACTGTTGCTTCTTGACCTGCATACAGATTTCTCAGGAGGCAGGTCAGATGGTCTGGTATTCTCAACTCTTTAAGAATTTTCCACAGTTTGTTGCAATCCACACAGTCAAAGGATTTGGTGTAGTCAATAAAGCAGAAGTAGATGTTTTTCTGGAACTCTCTTGCTTTTTTCTATGATCCAACGATGTTGGCAATTTGATCTCTGGTTCCTCTGCCTTTTCTAAATCCAGCTTAAACACCTGGAAACTGGTTCACATACTGTTGAAGCCTAACTTAGAGAATTTTGAGCATTACTTTGGTAGCATGTGAGATAAGTATGGATATAAGAGTTGGACTATAAAGAAAGCTGAGCACCAAAGAATTGATGCTTTTGAACTGTGGTGTTGGAGAAGACTCTTGAGAGTCCCTTGGACTGCAAGGAGATCCAATCAGTTCATCCTAAAGGAAATCAGTCCTGAATATTCACTGGAAGGACTGATGCTGAAGCTGAAACTCCAATACTGTGTCCACCTGATGTGAAGAGCTGACCCATTGGAAAAGACCCTGATGCTGGGAAAGACTGAATGAGGGAGGAGAAGGGGACGACAGAAGATGAGATGGTTGGATGGCATCACCAACTCAATGGACATGAGTCTGAGTAAACTCCAGGAGCTGGTGACAGACAGGGAGGCCTGGTGTGCTCCAGTCCATGGGGTCGCCAAAAGTCAGACACGCCTGAGCAACTGAACTGAACTAAATGCAATTGTGCAGTAGTTTGAGCATTCTTTGGCATTGGCTTTCTTTAGGATTCAAATGAAAACTGATCTTTTCCAGTCCTGTGGCCACTGCTGAGTTTTCCAAATTTGCTGGCATATTGAGTGCAGCACTTTCCCAGCATCATCTTTTAGGATTTGAAATAGCTCAGCTGCAATCCCATCACCTCCACTCACTTTGTTCATAGTGATGCTTCCTAAGGTCCACTTGACTTCCCATTGCAGGATGTTTGGCCTTCTTCCCTTAAACTGGTTTTACTTATCTAACAAATCACAAGCTACTAGACCATTTTGATTGGCTACTATTTTATGTATATATATATGTGTATATATATATATATATATATATATATATCCTACGTGCATGCATGTTAAGTCTCTTCAGTTATGTCCAAATCTTTGTGACTCCATTGACAGTAAGTCTATCAGGCTCCTCTGTCCATGGGAAATCTCCAGGCAAAAATACTAGAGTGGATTGCCATGCCCTCCTCCAGGAGATCTTCCCAACCCAGGGACCAAACCCGCATTTTTTGTCTCCTGCACTGGCAGGTGGGTTCTTTATAACTGGCATCACGTGGGAAGCCCCATATGTCCTACATATCCAACTAAACTGAAAGTTCCCTGAATACAAGGAAAATGTTAGTCTTTTCCAATTTCTTGAGTGTTCTATGAAGGGCAGATACTCCATAAATACTAGGTTTTCTTTCTTTCTTTTTTTTTTTTTGGCCATACTGTGCAGCACATGGGATATCTCAGTTTCCCATCTGGGGATCAAACTCATGCCCCCTGCATTGAAAGTGCAGAATCTTAACCACTGGACCACCAAGGAAGTCCCAAACACTGATTCTTAATAAGCATCATACATTGTTGCTCTAAAATGATGTCATATTTATATAGCACTTTATAATTTCTGGTGAAATTCTATATCATTCTCCGAAACTCAATTAAAACAGCACCCTTGGTCCCTCGTCTTGTCCTAACCTTTCTCCCCCAATGTAATAAACGATGTAATAAAAGTAGATGATGCCGCCAATCACCCAGTGGCTCACACCCCAAATCTAGATGTCATCCTTGACCCCTCCCTGTCCTTCTCTCTCTACATCCTATCCACCCATGGGTTCTGAGAGCTCTACTTTTAAAACGTAATCTCCATATATCCATCTCTTTCTACGGTACTGCTCCCTCACCACACCAACATCCAAGCTGGTCCCCTAGCTTTCTCTCAGGCCCTTCTACTATCTGTTCTCCTAGAAGAATCATTTGCAATACAAATCAGAGCCACGTTACTCTCTTATTTAAATCCCTTCAGTAGCTTCACAAAATAAAAACTGAATGATTTTCCATGGCTTACAAAGCTCTATGGGAAGGGTCCCGTCCACCTTTCCAACCCTGTCATATTACTCATCCTCTATGTCATTAGGCTTTGGTCATCAATGTCGCTTTCCTGACTCTAGAACACACCAGGCTTGTTTCAGGCCTTACACATTCTAATTTCTTTGCCTAGAACATTCTACCCCTAGAACTCTGCAGTGTAAATTAACCACCAGTCTATCCTCTCAACCATTTTCAACCATATCATACAGTTTTACTTCATATCGTTTATCTTTATCTTGATCACGTATTTACTTGTTTACTGACAATCACACCCAGAGTGTCCTTGACAAGCAAAACTAACTGGCACTAGCCAATTTTGTTCACTGTTGTTTGTCCAATACCTATAATAATTCCTAGCACATAATAGGAGCTAAAAAATAGCGCATAAATGAATGAATAAGTGATCTCAATTGATATCCCCAAAATCATTATTAAGCAGGCAATAAAAATATGATTATCCTCATTTTATAATTATAAAACAGCTTCCCTGGTAGCTCAGTTGGTAAAGAATCTGCCTACAGTGCAGGAGACCTGGGTTCAATCCCTGGGTTGGGAAGATTCCCTGGAGAAGGAAATCTCTAATATTCTTGCCTGGAAAATCCCATGGACAGAGGAGCTTGATGGGCTACAGTCCATGGGATCGCAAGAGTCGGACACGACTTAGCGACTAAACCACCACCATAATTACAAAACAGGGAAACTGAGGTTTCAGACTATTAAATGACTTTCCTCAAAGTCACACAGCAAGATAGGAATAAGATTAAAATGCAATCTTTAGGCCTGGAGTTCAGTATTTAAGCTGTTATATTATGATGCTAAAATGTGGCTAGTTTTAAACCACTTCAAATAATTTTTAAGTCATTTAATACTTTTAACAAACATGGCAACATTTTTAATGGGAAAAAAGATCTTAACAAAAATCTATTGGTAATTCAATTATCCTATCAAACATAAAACAGAGCAAGTGAAAAAGTAAATGTTTGTCCCCTCTATGTATTTTTTATTTCCTATATATTTTTAAAAACACATAGTATTTAGTAAGATATAGAATGCAAAAGTTAAAGCACCCAACTTACAGCCTACATTACACACACAAACAGATCTTACATCCTCTAGCACCTTCCATTTTTCTCCCAACAGAAAACTGTCTCTCCTGGAACTATAAGATTAAGTAAGAGTGTATCTTTTAAGATTCGGTTATAAAAGTCTCTAATGAACTTCCTTGATGAAACACTATCACTTTTAGGAATAATAATAAGGTTAAAAGTGTTTGTGTTTCCTTATATCACACATAAGCCCTTTCATATACAGTTGCCACAGAAATGATAATGTCACTAAAGACGCCCCATTAAAAGTGGACCCTTCAAAATATTTAAACATACCCTTTTAAAAGCCATTCATTGATGGGTGTGATTGATAAAAGCTGAAGAAAAAGCCATACTGCTGCTGGGAAGAATGCAAGTGTAAAGATCTGAATAAAAAGATGTAGTTTTATATGCACCAAAGCACTTGTCAGCTCCTGTGAAAATGAAGGACACAAAATAACAATGATAAGAAAACTATTTCTGAAGAGAGATTGCTGCCAAAACAACATCACATAAATTAGGCTTTTTCAATTGAGATATAATTAACACACAATGTTGTACTAGTTTTAGGCATACAACATGATGACTCATTGTGTGTACTGCAAAACGATCACCACAGTTAAGTCTAGTTAATATTTATCAATTTGGAGTTATTTCACAGCTAAATTTTTTACCTATAAGCATACACATAAGAGATAGACTTTAAGGAAAAAAAACTCTTCATGTAATTATATTTTTATATAAAACTTATCAAACATTCTCATTTTTTTCAAATATAATACACCATAACAATTTAGATTCATAAAATTCTGGAATAGGACTAAGCTAACTACCTTAACACTAGCATAGATTTCAGAATTGCTGATACTATAAACAAACACATAGGATGCTACAGAAAAACCCACACAAACTTTTTGGCTAACTCAAAAGGACAAAATCTTGTTTAAAAATTTTGGCAGGACCTAGCATTTTAACTCAATTGATACCCTCTATTCATTACACCAGACCTGGCAGGCCTCAACTTGGCAAGATGTTACTAAATCTACACACAAATCATAATTTTTAACAATGTTTTTCCCAATAATATTCTATAACTCCAAAGGGCTCTTTCCCCAAAATCTACTCACTAGATTTTTTTTTTAAATGAGACTAGTGGTACCTTTTTTTATGTGAATACATATAATACAAAATAAGAAAACTATAAACCAGTATTTCTTTACTCACAAGATTTCTCTATTAACATTTACTGAATAGCAGAGTTCTGTGCCATGCTCTGAGCTTGCCATTTTAATGTATGTTATCTCATTTAATCCTGACAACAACTCTATCAGGAAGATATTATCTGAGGAGAAAACTGAGATTTTCTGGCATGCTATCAAACCCATGAATTCCTGTTTCTACCACCAAGTCACATCACTGCCCCAAGAGGGAAAAGATTTACATGAAAACATGACATACCAGGAATAAGTTGTGAGTCTCACAGCTGAAAAAGGATATAACAGTAAACTCTGGGATTTCAATACATACAAACTAACAAGCATTTACATTTGAATTTCTTTGAGTTATGTGGTTATTCAGAGGACTAATTCAGAAAGTAATAGAAAACATGTAAAACATGCAGCATGAAAACACATTCAAAGATGCCAGAGTCACTGGTTATAAACTTAGCACTGCAATGTCCCCCACTTTCCCTAGTTCAAGTTAAGTCATGAAGTGGCCTCAGAGACATTAGTCAAAGTTTACAGTGTAGTAAACAGTAGGTTAATGCAGGCTCATTCACTGATCACCACTTTCTGCCATCTGTCTCATCGGTTCCCACCCTTCATCTCTCTATGTGAAGACATACTGGGAGACATGTAGACTCAATCTCAAGACATCTCTAAAGGCACGGGCATCTGTGGAACTCCTGGCAATCTGGATCTAACGGAGAACAACACTGGGCCGGCCGGAAGCCACGCTGTGTGCCCAGATCAGAGCTCACGTAAAAGGAATTATCTTACACTGAACCAGAAGTTTCACCCCAGAAAAAACTTAAGCACCAGCAGCTGGAAGAATTCTCAGTAGTCTTGAAACCAAATCTCACTCAAACACACTCAGAGGGACTCTACAAATACCAAATAACTATCAGTGGGTTTTTTATTTTTAAAAAATTAAAATGACTAGCCAGAATGCAGTAAACAAAGGTATCGGTATATACTTCTCATAGGAATATAAAACGCTTTAACCTTTCTGAAAAGTAACTTGGGAGAGTATCTCAAAGACTATAATATTCCTGCATTTCAAAATGTTTTGGCTAGGCATTTCACCTAAGGATATAAAAAGTGGTTACAAGCATTTCTATCTAGAAAGGACTGATAGAGCATTATCTATTACAGTAAAATCGGGAAACAACGTATATGTCCAAAAGTGGGAGAAAAACTAATGACTTCAGGTAGCAACAGAGTGTTAAGAGCTATTAGAAAGTATGTTAAAAACTGTGCAGACAAGGATGTAGGAGTTCGGGGATCTCTTCCTGCTTAACCAACAGGCATGCCATTGGCCCAACCTACGGAGACCAAACCTGGCAACTGATTACTTCAGCCAGCACCTGCCTCCTTTCTAGGTACTTGAACTATCTCTCATAATTCAAACTTTCACAAGTCGTCTGACCCAGAAATTCTGCTTCAAGGAAATAATCCTTCACACGTATTATCAAATGTAGAAAATAACATATTTTTAAGTTATCCTTTGTAGAATGTTTATGATAGCAAAACTTTGTAAGTATACAAATGTCTATCAATAGAAGACAAGGAAATATATCAAGACACATTCATAAAATACAGTATCTTTCAACAGTCAAAAAGAAACAAGGAGCTTTTTATGTGCTGATATGAAACAATCCCCAAGATATGTGTTTTGAGTAAAATAAAGTAAGGTGGCAAACAGTATAAAATACCACAGTTTGATGGGGGCAGGGGATACACATATGTTCAATGTACATAGAGTATCCCTGGAAAGATACAGAAACTGTTCATATTGGTTTTCTCCAGAGAAGAGAACTGAGTATTTAGTAGAGGGGCAAAAAGAATACTTCTCATCATAAATACACTTATATCTTTTGATTTATGTTCATAAAACTGAATAAAATACAAATTACCTTATTTTCAAATATAAAGAAAAATTAAATGAAATATTAAATCACATGAAAAATTACCATTATACAATATAACATAGAAAATAAAATTGTATATTGTGTATGCATGTGTATATTTATGCAAAAATATGTATACATATATATATAATATATATATAAATTTTTAAAAGTCTCTACATACAAAACAGAGTTCCAAAGAATAGCATGGAGAAATAAGAAAGCCTTTCTCAGTAATCAATGCAAAGAAAGGAAAACAATAGGATGGGAAAGACTAGAGATCTCTTCAAGAAAATTAGAGAAGCTAAGGAAACATTTCCTGCAAAGATGGCTTCAATAAAGGACAGAAATGGTAGGGACCTAACAGAAGCTGAAGATATTAAGAAGAGGTGGCAAAAATACACAGAACTATACAAAAAAGATCTTCATGACCCAGATAACCACAATGGTGTGACCACTGAACTAGAGCCAGACATCCTGGAATGCAAAGTCAAGTGTGCCTTAGGAAGTATCAATATGAACAAAGCTAGTGGAGATGATGGAATTCCAGTTGAGCTATTTCAAATCCTAAAAGATGATGCTGGGGAAGTGCTGCACTCAATATGCCAGCAAATTTGGAAAACTCAGCAGTGGCCACAGGACTGGAAAAGGCCAGTTTTCATTCCAATCCCAAAGAAAGCCAATGCCAAAAAATGCTCAAACTACCACAAAATTGTACTCATCTCACACACTAGCAAAGTAATGCTCAAAATTCTCCAAGCCAGGCTTCAACAGTGCATGAACCATGAAATTCCAGATGTTCAAGCTGGATTAAAAAAGGCAGAGGAACCAGAGATCAAATTGCCAACATCCGTCAGATCATAGAAAAAGCAAGAGAGTTCCAGAAAAACATCTACTTCTGCTTCATTGCCTATGCCAAAGCCTTTGATTGTGTGGATCACAACAAACTGTGGAAAATTCTTAAAGAGATGGGCATACCAAACCACCTTACCTACCTCCTGAGAAATCTGTATGTAGGTCAAGAAGCAACAGTTAGAACCAGGCATGGAACAACAGACTGGTTCCAAATCAAGAAAGGAGTATGTCAAGGCTATATACTGTCACCCTGCTTATTTAACTTATATGCAGAGTACACCATGAGAAATGCTGGGCTGAATGAAGCACAAGCTAGAATCAAGATTGCCAGGAGAAATATCAATAACCTCAGATATGCAGATGACATCACCCTTACAGCAGAAAGCGAAGAACTAAAGAGCCTCTTGATGAAAGTGAAAGAGGAGAGTGAAAACGTTGGCTTAAAATTCAGCATTCAGAAAACTAAGATCATGGCATCCAATCCCATCATTTCATTGGCAAATAGATGGGGAGCCAATGGAAACAGTGACCAACTTTATTTTGGGGGGCTCCAACATCACTGCAGGTGGTGACTGCAGCCATGAAATTAAAAGATGCTTGCTCCTTGGAAGAAAAGCTATGACTAACCTAGACAGCATATTAAAAAGCAGAGACATTACTTTGCCAACAAAGGTCCATCTAGTCAAAGCTATGGTTTTTCCAGTAGTCATGTATGGATGTGAGAGTTGGACTATAAAGAAAGTTGAGTGCTGAAGAATTGATGTTTTTGAATTGTGGTGTTGGAGAAGACTCTTGAGAGTCCCTTGGACTGCAAGGAGATCCAACCAGTCAATCCTAAAGGAAATCAATCCTGGACATTCATTGGAAGGACTGATGCTGAAGCTGAAACTCTAATACTTCGGCCAACTGATGTGACAAGCTGACTCACTGGAAAAGACCCCGATGCTGGGAAAGACTGAAGGCAGGAGAAGAAGGGGACAACAGAGGATGAGATGGTTGGATGGCATCACCGACGCTACGGACATGAGTTTGAGCAAGCTCTAGGCGTTGGTGATGGAGAGGGAAGCCTGGTGTGCTAGGGGTCGCGTCCATGGGGTCGCAAAGAGTCGGACACAACTGAGCGGCTGAACTGAACTGATATAAAAAATATGTCTAAGAAAAAAGGACTAAAATTCACATAATGTTAAGAGCAGTTGTTTTTGTTCTTTCTAATCTTTCTACATGGGGAAATACTATTTTTGGAATCGTGAAAAAAGTTATAAAAATTGTAGTTAAAAAAATACAAGCTGACCTGATAAATGACAATTAGAAACAACTGACATTGTATCAGACTAATGGAACAATAAAGAAACAGCAAAATGAATCACAAGGGGCTACTATGTTGGGTCATCAAGGGCTTCTTAACAATATGGGGTTAAGAGACATGAATTGTTTCCAAGAAAGATTCCAAGACTATCACAAAAACCCAAAGTTCTATATTTTTTATATCTTCTTCATACAATCTTAAAGATAAAATAAGGTAGCAGTGGAAAAGAAAAAGCAAGTAAACACTATAAAATTCAAAAGAGTATTACTCCAAACATATCCGTGTAGAATTTAGGGCCACATACTTAAGTAAACACCAACATGAATAATTGAAAAGTTGATTTCACATGACATTTTGTTTACTCACATGTAATACAGGTCGAATTCCATTAAAAATAAACTTAAGGAGATATTCCACATACCCGGACCTCACTGACAGCATCAAGAATTGCTTAAAATCAGAGGTTCAGACTGGGATTTAGAGATATTTTCATTACATACCAATTTCGCTGCTAACCCTTATTCGACCTTACTGGATTTGCTCTGAGAAGCAGCCTCATAGCTCTGGGCTGGAAACAAGCAGCGGTAGCCTCGAGTTCAGAATTTGCTATAGTTACTTCTAAGCTAGTAGAATTTTAAAAAAATTATCTGTTTAGGAAAATAAGGAAAACTAAATATTTTAGCCTACTGGGGACCCTTCTCAGACTCCAAGGTTCCTGTTCATCTTTGCTCCTGTCCCAGGCCAAGCACATGTTAACAAGGCTACAGCACCTGTGGTCATAAGCACTTCTTAGGTACCTGTTTAAGCGAGATTGGTCCTGTCACAATCTCTTCAGTGACTAATCCTCTGAAACTGCAGGTCTGAGGCTAACTAAATATAAAATATATTTCAAATGTGACCTTATTTCATAACACCAACAAAAAAGTTCAGAAACCATTTCAACAGGTATTTCACAAACTAGAAACCAAGAGTCATAAAACAAGATTTAGCATTAAATCTTTTTCGCATGAAGTGTTAATACACAGTCCTTTATAGTTTTAATAAGTGAACAAAACAAATTTTAGAATACACATCATTACCTCAATGTATAAGTAATACTACATGAAATGTTCCAGATAAATCCAACTTGCGTGGGACCAATGAAAACGCTTGCAAATAGACTCAAGTTAATAATAACTTTCTGTCTCCTATGTGTAAAAATGCACTATTCCAGGACCTAGTAGGATAAAAAAAAATAGTAGTCCCAGCTGATATTAATTTGATTATTAACTAAAAAACAAGTAACATGAAGATCAGATCGCTACCTCCTAACTTACAACTGTTCACTTGCCCGGGAAATTAGCAGGGCCTAGAGATGGTTTAACACTACATAATGATGCAATCTAGGGCATCTTAAATTAAATGGATCTTGAAAATGACTTAATATTGTATTAGTTTGAAAAGGGCCCTTAATGGAGGAAGTGGCTTTGATGGCTGCTTAGATACCATGATAAAACACAGGATCCAGGCATTTGATCATCAGAGCCAAATTAGTTGGATGAAGGTTTCCTAGGTGCTTACAGAAGAATTTGAAGAATTTCCTTAGAAAATGCTGGTAAATATGACATTCTTCCTTCTTCAAATCCTGCATCCCACAGAGTTGGCTGCTTGACAGGATAGCGTTAAGCAAGAAACTAAAGGAGTGAGAGAATCAAATCTTGCCAGATTTCCCAAGGCATAAAGAAAAACTGTTGGAGAAGGAAATGGCAACCCACTCCAGTATTCTTGCCTGGGAAAGCCCATAGACAGAGGAGCCTGGAGGGACGCAGTCCAAGGGGTTACGAAGAGTTGGAATCGACTTGGCAACTTCACAACAGAGAACAGCTGCAGATATTAAGCAGCCAGCAGGGGATGTAGTTAGAGCAACGTCTCAAGCACAGGGCGTGGGTGAGGCACCTGTTCCACAGAGACAATCAGCCAAGGCCAGCAGGAAGACCTCCAGGGAAAATCCATCCAGTTCCACAGGAGTGGCAAGTATCTTTCTGTATCACTGGATCCCGCATTTGAGAACCAAGTGTAGAACTCAGGTGTTGACAGAGAAAGCCTGCATCCCACCCCCCTGCGCCAAGCACCAACCGTAGTCCTCTCATGTCAACATAATTTACAAAAACTAGAATTTAACCTATTTAGGAAACCTCATTCTAAGTCGGTTTCAAAAGAGCAAGTAATTAGTGACAATATTTCAAATTCTTGAGACAAAATTTCTCAGACACTACACAGGGATCCCTTCTATATCAAAAATGCCCCATTGATAAGATTTATACCAACTTGACAACTACAGAATACATAAATTTAGTCAGACCATGCTTTTTCCAAGTTGCTACTAGGATGGTCAAAAATGAAGGTAACTAAATACGGTTTTATTCAAAGCACACTTAAGAGAAAATTAAAATAAACACAGGCAAGACCTAATGTGGAAACAGAATTTTAAACCCATTTCCAAAAATGCCCCAAATCCTGACATAGTAAGAGTGCCCACCTACATATGAACAAGGATATCTTAAAATGACAACTTTACAAGCTCAACGTAATTTCTTTAAAGGTAAATGGGTATTTTCTTTTCTTCCTTTATTACAATTCAAAGGAGAATCAGAAATTCTACTCATTCCTCTCTTGGATGTTAAAATGTCTTGATTTGTTTAATTCTAAAAGAATCTCATATTCAGGGATAGCTAGATCAGTAAATAAAATTACCTGTGTGTGTTCATGACAGATGGTGGTTCAATGTGAAAAATTCCTGCATTTCAGTTAAATCATTCATTAATATGTTTATATATTAATATGTAATAGATATGCCATGTTAATAGGTAATAGATATGCCAACAAAGAATATCCTTTTTAAAAAAGACACACAAATTAGTTAAAAACTATAAGAAGCACCATTTGAGCAGCATAAGTCCTAGAAGCTAAAGAAGATCCACAAGTTATGGAAACCTAACTAAACATCAGTGACTCCAGAGTGCCCCAGCAGGGGCCACTACAGTGACCAACACCATCTGAGAAAGATGGGAAGCAGATGTTTCAGGTCACTGTATTGAAAACATAACCACTCTAAACACACCTTACTTCAGTCTCCATGGCGCTGTCAACTATAGTATAGTGTCTATGATATATAGTCACTACGTACAAAACGCAAGTCCTTTGCAGAGGTCTAAGTCACTTTCCCTGATAGTGAAGCCTTCAGACTGTAACTACACCTGGCTTTACAAAAGGAATCTGAAATTTCAAAGCAGTAAGCGCAAATTAAATTCTTCTCCCTGCTTTTCATGTGCCCCCATAGGTAACAGTACCTCTGTATTTAATGATAGTCCGCTGTTAAAGAATATTGTTGCGACAGCAATGTAGGAGACAGTTATTTCTGGCTTCAGGGGTCCTAAAGAGAGAGAAATGAGTCACTGTTAGATAAACATTTCCGACAGGCATTTACTTGACACGAAAGAAGAATCCACTGGAGGAGAACAAGCAGGACTCAATCTTGGTGTTGCCTCTACTGTGCTAATGAGCTCGCAGAGTTAAGTGTTCACTGTGAGGCAGCCGGACTCTGGACAGGATTTTCCGGAGGGCGAGGACCACGGCTGTCCAGCTCAGCACAGAACCCTCAGACCAGAAGAATGAAAATAAACACTGCTCTCACACAGGAGAGCAGACAGGCTGCATCCCTCTACATTAATTCTGATTTTATCTGCCACAGTCTCTGTGCTGATATAACAATCAAAATTCTCCCCCACCAGCACCACCAAAAGAAGAAAATCAGTGGAAGAAGTCCCCTTATTTTTAGCAAATATTATCTTATTTCTCCTAGGATATCAGAGATCAAAGCTTATATTCATGCATACTCAGTTCTGCCGGAGTGCACTCAGAGTACAAGTACTTACTGAGCACTTACCACATGAATGAGACAATGCACATAGAGTAGCAGAGTGTGTGTGCTTAGTCGCTCAGTTGTGTCCGACTCTCTGCAACCCCATGGACTCCAGCCCCGCCAGGCTCCTCTGTCCATGGGATTCTCCAGGAAAGGATACTGGAGTGGGTTGCCGTGCCCTCCTCCAGGGGATCTTCCCCACCCAGGGATCGAACCCAGGTCTCCCGCACTGCAGGCGGATTCTTTACCATCTGAGCCACCAGGGAAAGTAGCAGAGTACTTAACAACATATTCTTAAGATTGCTAACATTAAATTTTGGCAGGCCCCAGGAATACTGCGGTGACCCAGACAGGACTGATCTTTCACCTCTGGAAAGTCTTCCCTAGAGACAGGCTGGCACCACCCTAGAGGTGTTAATACATGGGCATAACAGGGACGACCCTAATATTTACTTATTTATTTATGTAGCTTGTACACAATTGGGGGCTTCCCTGGTGGCTCAGTGGTAAAGAATCCAGCTGCCAAAGCAGGAGACACAAGTTTAATCCTTAGGTCAAAAAGATCCCCTGGAGAAGGAAATGGCAACCCACTCCAGTATTCCTGCCTGGAAATCCCATGGATAGAGGAGCCTGGCAGGCTACAGTCCATGGGGTTGCAAAAGAGTTGGACATGACATAGCAACTACACGACAACAAACAACATACATAAGTGACTTGAAGACCTAATGTGCTAACCAAAGGGCAAGACTGCAATTCTGAGAAAGTGCCACTTTATACCCGTATAACAGTTGATCTCCAGCTGTGGAAATTTTGTCACCCGTGGACGTTTGGCAATGTTCCGAAACATTTTTGGGGGTTGTTATAACTCAGGGGGTAGGGTGCATTACTGACATCTAGTAGAGACCAGGAGTTCTCCTAAACATCCTGGAGAATGTTTTTCAGAATTACATATCCAACGATATGAATTATCATATCCAAAATCAAACATATCAGAATGAGCATATCCAAAAATGTCAATAACAGTAGAGACTAACACAACATTGTAAAGCGAATATACTCCAATAAAAAAAAGCAAGGGGAGTTCAATGTATCTGTACTTCATTATCTCTTATATTGAAAATTAATGAAATAAATCCAAATAAATATTAGCAAAAATTTTTTTAAACATCAATACTGCCAGGGTTGAGAAACCCTAGCACGGACCAACATTTTAAAATCTGAGATCACCTCGTATTTGACATTTTATACAGCCCTCTTGCAGTAGGCTGAACAGTGTCCCTCCAAAATTCGTGTCTACTAGAACCTATGAAGCTAATTTGGAAATTGGGTCTTTGCGGATGTAATCAAGTTATTAATAAGTGGTCTAATTGGATTGGGCAGGAGCTGTAATCCAGTGACTGGTATTCTGGTAAGTAGAGGCAACTCTGGGTATGGTCACAAACAGAGGGAAGGTGGCCTTGTGAAGACTGGGGCAAGGAGCCAAGGACATCTGGGAACCACCACAAGCCAGGAGAAGCAAGGAAGAGCTCTTCCCTAGAGCATTCGGTGGGAGGACAGCCATGATCACATGTGGATGTCTGAATCCTGAAAAAAACAAAACAAACAAACAAAAAAATTTCTGTTGTCTTAAGCCACCAGTCTGAGGAAATTGGTCGTGGTAGCAGTAGGAAATGAATAGCTGCCGCAGAGCCGAACAACAGGACCAAAATCACCGTTCCTCCACCGCCTGCCACCCTCCACCATCCCTATAGGTACTGCTCAATGAAAAAGACCAAGCTCAGGAAAAATCACCACTCAGTCAGTCAACAACATTTTAAAAAAATATATTTATTTATTTGTTTGGCTGCCCCAGGTCTTAGTTGCATCACGTGGGATCTTAGTTCCCTCATCAGCAATGGAATCCAGGCTCCCTGCACTGGGAGCTCTGAATCTCAGCCACCAGACCACCAAGGAAGTTCAGTCCACAAACCCTTATTGAGCTACTACATGCTACATTTCAGGCATTTGTAGTACATCAGTGAATTACAGAAACAAAGATCTCCTTCAACACTGTGATACAGTATTTTAGATACCTGGCATTCACACAATCATTTTGCTGTGATCTGAGAAAAAAGGAGTAAAGGGAAAAGGCAGGTAAAGAAGTATTACACTTCACGGCAGTGAAAGCAGTTCAAAAAAGAAGTACTTTTTTTTTTTTTCCACCATACTTGTGAGTGAATCTGTCTCGGCCACTCACACTTTGGAATAATATTTCATCAAAGCTGAAGAAAGGTGATTCAGGAGCAGATTTGGAAGTCAAGGAATCGGGTTCCTTTTGGAAGTAAATGCCTTCCAGGAATTTTTAATATCCTGTTTGTTTGCTTTTTTAAAAAAACTCATATCATTTTTCTTTTCCTCCAGTCCCAAGTTTTTTTTTGAAATCTATTCTTGTCAACTGTGCTTCTGTCCACAGTGGTGACCCGGATTTTCTGTATATAATGGGTTAGAGTTAGCAGTATGGGCGTTTCTGGTAGCTCAGACAGTAAAGAAACTGCCTGCAATGTGGGAGATCCAGGTTTGATCCCTGGGTCAGGAAGATCCCTAGAGAAGGGAATGACAACCCACTCCATTATTCTTTCCTGGAGAATTCCATAGACAGAGGAGCCTGGCGGGCTACAGTCCATAGAGCTGCAAAGTCTGAGTAACTAACATACACACACACAGAATTAGCAGTATATTTGCAAGCAATAGCTAGGTGACGTGTCCAAAGATGCATCTCCATAGCAAGCACATAGCAATGACTTGGACTGAACGTTTCTTTTGGGCAGCTAGAGCTTACTTTAGTTAGCCAACACCTGAATTTTTTAAGAAGCTAACTCTTCCCACACTCCACACACAGAGACATATATAGATAAATATCATAACTATTAATTAATGGGCACAATTCAGTGGACTGATCCTTCACTTTGCATGTTTTAAATCCTAAAAACAATGTGTACTGTTTTTTTATTAGATGCAGATCTAAATAACTCTAATCCATGAAAGAACCTGGTGAGGTTATTCCAGGTCCACTGACAATGTACCATTTAAAGGGGAAGGAGGAATCAATTCTAATTTGGAGAAACCTAAAGCCCCTCTGAAACCTAAAGCTGCTAATGGATCGTCCACTGTGTGAACGAGGAACTAGAGGCTGGCAGGGCTGAAATTAAAAGCTGGTAAATATTTGCACAGAGATGAGAGTTGAAAGTATGTTGTGGAATGATATTTGGCCTCTCTCCAAGGTCATAATTATATCTTCCAAGTCATGAAAATAACCAGGTTCAGATCTTGAGATGGCTATAAAGAGCAAAGGAGAAATGTAAATTTTAACTTTTCCTTAAACCAAAGCGAAAAAAAAAAGAGATTTCTCAGTGAAAATGGGAGGGGGTGGCAACATCAAAAGAAAAACTAACCATAAAAAACTTTGGGACTTCAAATTCATATTTTTTAAAATATGGGAATGGAGGTGGGGAGAAAGAAAATGATTTGGAATGTTTAAGAATGCAAGGAACTATTATTTCATAAAACTACTATCATCAAGTGAATTTCATTCCTAAACTTCATTTAAGGTGTTCATGCTAATGTTCTTAAGTTTATGCAGGAACATGTTTCTGGTTATGTTTTCTTAAAGGAAAAATGAAGCAATTTCTTTTTTAGAAGCTATGTCTTATTAATAGCAATAATTACAGTTAAAGATGCAAGTAGAAATAAGAAACTTACTCTGTACTTCCAAAGAAGTAAGCCTTTATCTCCTAGGATGAATAGTACAGTGTTGAACTCTGGTAAACTCTAAGATGGGTAGAGCTCAGGGTGCCCCTGGGTCGAAATGCAACACAGTATCTAAACCTGAAAATCTGCACATTTACATCTCTTGTGGCTCTTCACTTTCAACTTTTTAATATATTTAAAAATGAAATATAACTGAGTAAAAAGAACAGAGAAGTAAGAATTAAATGATCTATGCTAGTATCTGTCTCACTTTTTCCCATATGGAAAGTCATTCAACTTCTCTCACTTTAGGGTTCCTACCTCTGTAAATTTCCAGCCATACATAACTCACCCATTGATTATATATACTGCTTTTAAAGGGAGGTCAGAGCAAAGATGTGATACTTTAAGTGTAGAAGTCTTACACTTCAAAATAGAGTGAGGTCATTAAGGTATTGATCCAGGTAAAGATGAGGGGAACCTTTTAACAAGTTGAAAACAATCAAAACTTCCTGCTGAAGAGAACAGAAAACTGTTCAACTGAAAATTTCTCAGTCAATGTGAGTGCATTAAAAATGTATATGAATTCCAGTGTACAGACCCCAAAATGGAACTTCTGACTACAAGTGACAAGCAAAAAGAGGTACTTTAGATCATTCTGTAGAGCACAAGAGGACAGACCACTTTCAGCCACCGTTCTCCCGTTCTCCCAAGTCCTAGATTTTTGTTGTTTTAACTAATGGAGTCAAAGTGTTATTTGGTACTATTTGAAAGTTTCTTTTTATTGAAGAAGTTTTACAGGTGGGAAGGTCAATTGAAGTATCGAGAACTTATCCTGACGGCCTGTATAACAAATCCCAAACATTTAACTTCTTTTTTTAGAAACAGTAACTTTTACACTTGGACATTTCTCTCTCAAAAAAAAAAAAAAAATCACACGAGTACACAGTTGTCTAATATTAGCTGAATCTGCTTAGCTTTGGGGGGCTATAAAAATCAGGGTATGGAAAGAGAGCCTTTCTTTATAATGGTCATTCATTTTTAATGATTTATTGCCAAGCATGGATTTATTGCCAAGAATGTATGGATGTTGCAACTGGTATGATATAACGGGAAGTCCGGGTTCCCAGTCGTTCCTCTTCCCTAAGCTAGCTAACTTGACCTAGGGTGAGTCACCTGAACTCAGGTCTCAATACCTTCAGCTGTAAAAGAAGCATGTTGGCTTAAAAGGATTTAAAGTTCCCTCTCAGCTCTTAATTGTCTCCTCTTTTATAATTAAACAAATAAACTCTAGATTAATGGTATAGGGACTAGTGAAAATGGGAAACAATATTTCTAATATAGAATAACCCCCAAAACTTCACTAAGTAGAATCTGAGGGAACAAGCAAAAATGTATCTCACACCTGTCCCTGGGGAAATGATTCAGCAGTCAACAACCCTCCTTCCCACTCAGCAGCCCAGGAATGTAAGAGACCAAACCTAGTCTCTGCAGATCTCAACTTAGAGGATCACACATCACCTGTAACTTCACCCTAACACTCAGCAAATCGGAGACCTAGCACTGTAAGCTACAAAGTCTGCAAGTGAAGCTAGTGAAATGTACATCCGAGATCACCACAAAGATACTCTCTAACATTCTTACTACCCAGCAAGCTGCAGGGACAACTCAAATGATTGTATAGAACCTGAATACCAGCCTTCACAAATTTCCCAGAAAGCTCACAGGGAAACTACGTCAAAGGAGAAACTGGTATCTTCAGCAGGATAACCAGCCCAACAGCTTTACTCTCATAGCTATACACCCTCCACATTGTGGACTAAGTTGAACAGAGAAGGAAAGAACATAAACGAAAAAGTTTTTAATCTCCACTGTCTTTGTTCAAAAAATTCTTTTTAAATGTTTTCTGAAGCTATCTCTAAATGGAGGTATTGAGGGCAGAGGGTAGAAGGAACCGCTGTTCTCCTGAGAGATCATTTCATTCACTTTCATCATGTTTGAACAAAAAGGTGCAAATAACTTCAAACAGCCTCCTGAGTGTTCAGCCTGGCATGAAGACTGTGTGCTCACTTCCGTCCTTATCTGTCCCTGTGTGGCTGGTGTGTAAAAACCTGTCAATAAGCATGAAAACTGCCAAACAAGGTCAAGCAGACAATGAACTAAACAAATTCAATTAACATTTATGAAAAGTGGGACATGCTTGTCTAAGTGTGGGAGGAGGGGTGGTGGGACAGGAAAGGCTAACGCTATTTCCAGTCATTTCCACCAATGCCCGTCCACACAGGACAAGGATTCCACTATTCAGAGATCTGGGTGTGATTTTTAAGCCCGCCTACATTTCCTTGCCAAAATACACAGCACACAGGGTCTAACACAGCCCGTATCTGTGAAACTGCTAAGTGCCGGCCGTACACGGAAGCGGTGAGTGCAACGTGTCAGTCGGCTTGGGAGTTTGCGGAGCGGCAGCAACTGCAGAAAAACACCACTCTCCGACATGTGGGCCACCAAATCTGAGTTGGAAGAGGAAAGGGTATCCCTTTTTCTCCCCTCGCCACCGGCCCACCTTTCCTTTTTTAACGTGGGGGAGGGGAGTGTCGGAAACGGACAAGATAATGGTGTTCACTCCAAGATAGATAATGAACTCCTGGCAACCTAGCGTCCCTTGGGATAGGATGCTACTTTGAAGGCAGGAGGGATAAGTTTCATTCCCGGTAACCTCACTGCTTGACACTAAGGATTCTCATTGATTGTTCGCGGCAAAGGCAACCGGCTTTCAAATTCGCTTGCCTCCTTCCTAATTATAAATCCTCTCCGGGGCTGGCAAATTGAAAAATCAGCTAAAAGGCCAAAAGACACAACTGGCTGGTCAGTGCCCCTAAGAGAGGCAGACACTCCCCAATTCCTGTCTCCCCCTCCTGCCCAAGACTCGAAAATTAGTTCTGAAGTAGGAACCGCGGCGGAGCATGCAGAGGTGGAGCACTTACCCCCATTCACCCCTATGGACGGCTCCAGCTTTGCTCCCGCGATCGCCAGTACTATTCCAATCATGAACCATTCTTTCCTCATTCTCTCCAGCAGCCTCATGTTTGTTAGGGTGGGTGGGTTTTGTTTATTTGCTTGGCTTTTTTTCTTTTTAAGCTGCGGTCGCTTAATCCCCGGGGCTTCTCCACACTTTCCAAGCTCCCACCTGACATGCAGCAGAGCAAGTCAAATTGCTACTTGTAAATTAAAGACCAGGGGGTTGCTCCAGCGGCTTTGAGGAGGGCTGGGAGTAGTAGTATCCAGTGACAGGAAAGTCTCACTGAGCGCCGCCATCACTACCGTACGGCCCCTAATAGAAGCGCACAGGAAAAAAAAAACCCCGCGGTTCTAGCCGCGCCTCCCAAGCGCAAACGCTCAAAAGCGAACGTTTGGGCGAAACCGGCAAGCACTGGCGATTAGGGAAGGAAAGCTGGCTGCCGGGTAAGGCTGACAAACTCTCCGCAATCGAGACCTGAGGAACCTTAAAAATGACAGGGACGGGGAGTGACGTGAGGCGCCACAGCCTACTTGTTCTATCAAGGGTTCCAACAAACCCGCCCTGTAGGCACAGCAACCCGCCCTCCCGGAGTACATCTGCGGAAAAATTCTCTTTTGATTGGCCTTGAGCCTGCGGGAAGGGTCAGGGTGCTCTTGGGTCAGCGATTTCTCCGTCGGCAGCTGGAGCGGCGGGCTGCAGGGTTGTGGGTGGCGAGCCTCTTCGAGACATTACGACGCTTCCTAGACGCCGGCGTTGACGTGTACGCTGGGGGAAGGGGAGGCCGCGCTTGGTCTCCGAGCTCTCGGCGCCTCCTGAGTTAGGCGAGCTCGTCAGCCTCCTCAGGAAAGCTGCGCCCCCGCAGCGGGGAAGCTTTAGCCCCGAGAAATGGGTTGAGGATTGGGCACCGAGCAGATGCCCACAGACAGAGGACCGATGTGTCCCGGGAGAGCTTGCCAGAGCCGCAGGTCGGTCGCCCCCGGAAGGGCACTCAGCCCCAACCCCCTTCGCCACCGCCGGCCCGGGAGTGGGGACTTTGGGGGTTCAGCCCCCCTACCGGAGACCCGATCTCGAGCTCTCTCACTACCTCTCAGCCAAGCTGCCGAGGGTCAGAGTGGCTGAGCTGGCTTGTCTGGAGAGTGCACGCTTTTGCTTGACCCCAGACCTTGCCCGACCGTCATCAGGGCAACTGTGGGAAGAGGTCAGGTTAGCAAGGAAAAAGTGGCGAGGGGCGGGGCCCTGCCTTCCATTGCCCCACGTGCTAGATTCTCTCCGTCCCCAGTTCTCCCTTCAAGTGTTTTCTGCCAGTGGCAGTGATAGTTCCATGAACGGACTTCTTACCCCCCGGAGACCCTGTAGGAACATCAACTCCTTCTTTTATGCACCCCAAGAAATAAATCAGGAAAATGCTGTGTTCTCATTTACTAAGAACTCTGATCGGCAGAATCAAACTCACTGGAAATGATTTTTAGTTGTAGTGGTTACTTAAAGGGAAAGAACACAAAGCACTGTGAATTCTGCATCAAGTTCCTGTGGATACTGTAACATATACCTCAAAATGGAAGCCAGAAATCCAAAAGCAGGTGTTGCCAAGGCCACACTTCCTTTGGAGCTTGTGAGGAGAAAATCCTTCCGTGTCTCTTATAGCCACTATTGGTTGTTGGCATTACTGGGCTTCCTTGGCTTGTGGCCACAGCACTCCAGTCTCTGCATCTATTCACATTGGTGGCTGCTCTTCTTTTTGTCTCCTATAAAGACTTTTGTCATCCCCTGGAGAAATAAAAGGCAACCCACTCAAATATTCTTGCAGAGAATTCCATGGACAGAAGAGCCTGGCAGGCTACAGTCAATGGGGTTGCAAAGAGTTGGACACCACTGAGCAACTAACATACCCAAAGGAGTCCTACTTACATTGTTCTCATGGACTTTATGTCTAATAAAATGGTAATAGGGACCTATCCCATCAGGCTGTTAAAAAGATTCAGTGGTATAGTGTATGTCCGTTGCTTTGCATGGAAAAAATGTTCATTCATTTATTCCAGACAATGTTTATTGAGCTTCTACTTTGTGCTAGGCATTATTCTAGATATGGGTTGTTACAAGGAAAGTGAGAGACAAGGTTTCAGCTTTCCTTGTGGTTCCAGTGACATAGAAAAGTAACATAAGTGCCATTATGATAATATAACAGGTCCAGCCAGTGAGAGAGAGTAACAAGGAAGATACTTTGAGTGATTGGAGAAGGCCTTTATGAAAGGGTGCAGTTTAAACAGACCCAAATGATAGGGGGATGTTCAGAATGCCTATATTTGGGAGATGAGCACTTCAGGCAGAAGGAGCAACTGGTGAACAACCTTTGTAAAGGCCCTAAGGTGGGAATGATCTTGACATGTGTATGAGTCTCCTATTGCTGCTGTAACAAATTAACTCAGTGGCTTAAAACAGCATAAATTTAGTAGCTCATAGTTTAGGGGTTCAGAAGTCCAAAATGGTTCTCACTGGGCTAAAATCAATACATCCACAGGTCTGCATTCCTTTCTGGGTTTCCAGAGGAGAATGTATTTCCTCTTCCTGATTCTAAGGGTTGCCTGCATTCCTTGGTTTCAGGTTCCCTTCATCTTCAGAATCCACAGTGGTCCATCCAGTCTTCCTCATGATGAATCATTCTGGCACTGTCTCCTCCTTTTACTTACGGAGACCCTTCTGATTCCAATGGGCCCACCCAGCTAATCCAGGGTAATGTTCCTATCTTGATTTAATTCTTAAATTAGTCACAGTAACATAGTCACAGTTTCTGGGGATTAGAATGTGGCCATCTTTCAGGACCATTATTCTGCCTACTACAATGTGTTAAAGGAAGGAAGGCCAAAGGACTGTAATTCACTCTGCTGGGGAGCCAGAGGAGGCAGGGGCCTCAGCATCCAGATCATGGAGGTTATTTGTAGACCAGGTAATAAAGTTTAGATTTTATTTAAATGTGGAGGGAAGCTGTAGGAAATGTTTTGTTTTTGTTGTTTAGTTGCTAAGTCATGTCTGACTCTTTGCAACACCAGAGTAGCCCAGTAGCCCGCCAGGCTCCTCTGTCCAAGGGATTCTTCAGACAAGAATACTGGAGTGGTTTGCCATGCCTTCCTCCAGGGGATCTTCCCCACCCAGGGATCAAACCCAATTTGTTGCATCTCATGCGACTAACACACACACACACTGTGTGGGTGAATGTTAGTATCAGTTTACAAAGATGAAAAAGATAGGGAAGAGCAGATTTAGTGAGGAAAATAAAAATTTATTTTGAGATAGCTTGAAGAGGGCTTTTTAGAGATTCAGGTGGAGGGACTCTCCTGGCGGTCTAGTGGTTAGTACTTGGCACTTTCTGTGCCAGGGCCTGGGATTGAATCCCTGGTAGGGGAACTAAAATTTCACAAGCTGTATAGCACACCTTCCCCACACACACACACACAAAAGAAATAGGAAAGAAATTTAGGTGGAGATCAGGCAAGTGACTAAGCAGTTCACAGAGGGAGATCAAGGCTAGAGAGAGTCAAAATTGTAGGAGTCACAGGAGTCTTTAAAGCCATACGATTGGGTAAGATTTCCCAGAAAGACAGCGTAAACAGGAAAAAAGCCTTTAAATAAGGGACTGTGAGGCAAGTGTGTGTTTGTGTGTGTTTGTCGCTCAGTCGTGTCCAACTCTCTGTGACCCCATGGCCTGTAGCCCTCCAGGCTCCTCTGTCCATGCTATTCTCCAGGCAAGAATACTGGAGTGGGTTGCCATGCCCTTCTCCAGGGGATCTTCCTAACCCAGGGATTGAACCGGGGTCTCCAGCATTGCAGGCAGATTCTTTAGCATTTGAGCTGCCATCCAGAAATCTCACCCTCTTTCCAGAAATATGGCCCCACTCAACTCTGGCTTTATGTATCCTATACAATAAAAATTTAATAAAAAGGCACCTGACAATGCATAGTAACAATTTAGTTGGTAGTGCTTAGTTCAGTAATCAATCCGTGTAATTTATCATTGATGAATAATTGGTGAAAAGTATATAGGGTGTGGTAATATTATATTTTTCTTTTGAGAAGTTAAGTCATTTGTATTCTTTTAAACATTGGAAGTAATTACAAATTAAATGAAAACAAATCCATAATAACATCATCTTCAACATATCATGTAATCTTCCAACAAATGTATATATGAGAGCAATTGTTTTGATCAGAAAATACTTTTACACTAGTGAACATTGTTAGCTCCAAAATGTTACCATGAGAGGAAATGCTGTCTTATTTTCCTGTACAGTATTCTGTATATAGCAAAGATAAAGATATATAGTGGCCTTGCCAATTACAGCAGAAAACTACCAATACATGCATAATTTGAAAATATAGCTAACTAGCTAATTTCCAAATAAATAATCTGGTAGTCCACTTGTCTGATCGTTGCTAAAATGCTTTCTGGAGATAACAGTATTATTTTCTTCTTTGCTTTTGGCTTTCCTTAGAACAACTCACAGACTAAACAGTTATGAAAATTCCAACTCAAACATAGGAGGTCGTGTTTTATATTAGACTAGAAGTATAACCACTTCCATTTTCAGGGCACGGGAATTTAGGCTCTTAGCTCCTATTGTCTTTGTGTTAATGAGATTGTGCTGGTAGATTCCCTCAGTTCAAATGCATTTCTGCCCTCTTCACATTGATAGGCACTGGGTTCATCAGGTGAAGACAAAATGCCTCTGTCTTTCTTGAATCCATAGTGGGAGGATATGTCTCTTTTCAGAAGACCTTCTGCTCTGGTGGTTTGTGAAAACTCTCCATCTAATAGTTTCTCAGCCTCTTAAGTGGAAATCCATCTCAGGAAATTAAGGACAGAGAGGAGTCAACAGCAGTGGATGATAAGCAGTTGGGAGGAACAGTAAATAATGGAAGGAAATGCAGCCGAAAGAGAGGGATCATTTCATGCTGTTAGATGACAAATCCACATCAATGCAGTTCTTATACCTGTAAGTATAGAAAAATGCTCATGTTGACAACTCTTCATCACACAATCTGTGTCATTAATAAATGATGAAGGATAGAT